CCGCGGAAGAGCGCATTCGATAGCTCTTCTAAAGCCCTTTCTGGGTAATGTTCTCAGATTTGACACAAGGTGAACGCCAGCCCAAACGGTTTAGGGCTAGAGCCAAACACCCTTAAAATTAGCGTTTTTACGGAAAAAGTATTCTTCTGTTATCACTAGTAATAACTTTTGACCCAAAACCTGCATGATGTTTATTTTTACCGGCATCCTTTTACCCTGGTCGAGACGCGCCGAATGAACCAGAAGTTGACCTTTATAAGATCTTTTAAAAGTATGACCATTTTATTTTTGCATACATTATTTACTCACATACAATCAGATCCCTGCCTTGGGGCCTTTGGCCTGAGCTCAGAGGTCATCGGCTAATATAGGAACTCAAGAGGAGGCATATATATGTTACAGTTAGTATGCGAAATCCGTTAGTTTGCAACGCAACTAGTTTCGTTGCAAACTACCTGACCGGCCAGGTAGTTTGCAACGAAACTAGTTCCGTTGCAAACTAACTGACCGTCCAGTTAGTTTGCAAACTAACTAGTTAGGATGCAAACAACCTAGTTACTTTGCAACGGAACTAGGTGTGTTGCAACGGAACTAGTTGTAATGCGAAATCGACGAGGCAGTGGCTCTATTTGTCGGTTATATTCAACTTTTATGTAAATTTTAACCCTATTAGTGGCAGGGGGGGGGGTTGTTTTTATCCACCCCTCAGGTTTTTCGGGAATATCTCCGAAACCGCTGAAGCTACGATGCTGAAATTTTCTGACTTTTCCTAAAACTAAATTGGGCACATTCCCTGAAAATTTCAAGTTCATAACTTTACCAGGGGCGGCTCCAGAGCACTGGGAATTGGGGGGTCCTATTCGTGAAGCGAGTCATTTGGGCGAAGATCACGATGCTGCACCAGTTTTACGAACAGTGGATAAAAGGTAACATGTGATAACATATACAGTTATTGTGCATCCTCTTTTGACACGTTTTTGCTATAATAGGCGGATCCAGGCGTCCAAAAAGGGGGGTTATGTTTTACTTCCCAACATAGGTGCCCTGACACCGCCTATGCATTACCAATACAACTTTAGTCGTTCTCTCATAAGAAAATTATAACATAACAAGACCATTACCACCCTTTTTAGAAACAGTACCAACAAAAACCTTATTTACTATACTTTTTGTGTACCCCCAATCTCAATGATCTGTATCCGCCTATGATTTTTGAAAATGCATATTTTTAGGATCCATGTGAATTACTGGTTCATTCTCTATCGATCGGCAAAAGTTGCGTTAAGATTGGTTCAGAAACCTGGCCGTGATAAACAGTCTAAAATGTATCTGCAATTTGCCCGTTTTTACCCCCCTCTACCCCCCCTATTGACATTTTTTAATTTTTATTTTTTTAGAAATGTAGATCACGTTGAGCGAAATCGAATGCCGTTTGAATTTTGAAAATCGGCCCGTTAGATCTCGAGATATCAAGGGGGGGTCGTAAACAGCCCCCCCCCCTGCCACTAATAGGGGGTAGCCAGGAGCCTGCCACTAATAGGGTTAACAGCGGTTGTTAAAACAAAGCTGTGTTTTTCTTACGGGTGACACTGAACATAAGACGGGTGGTCACATTTAGGATAGAAACAATGAATTAACCGGATTCGACTTCATAACGTTACGATCACTGGCGGATCCAGAGGGGGGGGGGGGGGGGCGCCCAAAATCGCTTCGCCATCCACGCAGCGCCCGAAAGCGACACATTTTTACTTATTATGAGAACGAAACGAAAACTGAACAACTTTTAAAATCAAATACTTGTTTTAGATTGCACAGCCGTGTGTAAGGATTGGAATCAAAATCCGAAAGGTTTTTGGAATTTGGAGAAACTTTTTGGGATTATGTCTCCCGCGACGTTTAAGACCATCTTTCTGGAACCGCCAGTGATCACCATAAATGCGTAGACATAACCCGCGCCCCACTGGGCGGGGGGGCTATTCATAGCCCCCTCCCGTTTTTCTGCAATAGCTTCTAAAATGCTTGACGTATCGCCGCCAAACTTTCAGTACCTTCGGCTGCATCAATTTGACACCTTGTGTCAAAATTTAAACTTCGTATCTATCATAGGTCGGCCGGAAATGACGTCAGAGTGACGTCATGTTCGACCGATTTCGACGCAAAACATTGAACCACGGGAATCGCTCCCAAGAGCTCAGTTTTTTAGTTAGATCCAATTTCTTTGCATGAGAGGACTCAGAATGGAATGCGCTATCAAACTGTTATCTCGAAATTTAAAATTTTGTAAACTTTGAAAATTATACATATTAAAATTTCAAAATTTGGATTTTTATATTTTTTTCAAAAACATTTGGACTTTTCGAGAAAAAAAACGGAATACGTATGATAGAACACATGCTTATAACTTAGGTACTCTAGCAAGTTTTAGCCAGATATCTTCAAAAATGGCCAAGTTATACGCATTATAGCAAAATTTCACAATTTTAGATTTTTTCAAATCAATTTTCTGTACGAATTATGTAGACATCGTACACCAATATAAACAGCACCATCGTGTTCCTGAGCTCAAACTGCATCCAAAAGAAATGTTTTTTGTTGAAAAATTTCAACTTCGAAATTTGACCTTTTTATACCTGAAAGTGACCTGACCTCAGCTATATTCAGATGAAAATGGCCTCAAATGACACAGGCGACACCGAAATCGAACTCTATGGCCTAAATGGACCATAAAACATGTGTCACGTGACCGACTTATGACATAAGATTTCCGTGACCTATGATGACCTGAACTTGACCTGAAAATCAAAGTACAAGTTTGGTACCCTCAGAGTATCTAAAGCATCTGTTCACGAGTATGTACAGGGTGGACCAAAAAGGATGGAAACATTTTGAACTCGCATAAAATATGTGTTATTGCATGCAGGTGACTGAAAATGATACCAAACGAGAGTACATTTCGTGGAAATTCATAATGACATCTCCCTCATCTGCTTTTTCTCGTTTTCAGTCTCCCACAGCAAATGTTCGAAGAGGCCACTTTTGCGAGACAGGCAAAGAGCGGCCCGCCTGGCTGCTGACGCGATAGCCCGATGACACATGTCCGCTGGTTTGGCTCGCACAGCCTTGGTGATCACTCTCTTCAGGTAACAGATGCCTTTAGAACTTTCCTTGTAGACCTGGCCTTGAGATGACCCCACAGGAAAAAATCCATCGGGGTCAGGTCAGGTGATCAGACAGGCCAGTTCCGACAGGCACTGCGGGATATCAGCCGGTCACCGTGGTTCTCGCTCCACTTGAGCGTTGTTTCGCGATGTGAGGAGGCGCACCGTCTGGCTGAGGTCCATGAGGTCCATGAGACTGCCATACTTCGTTTGGGCTCACTTCAACAACTTCTTTAGCGTCGCTTGGTAGCGCTTTTGGTCGTCAGCCACGGTGTTGTCGCTCCCATCCTCGAGCCGAAGTGGAACTGGCCTGTCTGTCTTCTCTTCTGACCTATGGATTCCTTTCCTGTGGAGTCATCTCAAGGGCCAGGTCTATAAGGAAGGTTATGTAGGCCTCTGTTACCTGAAGAGAGCGATCACCAAGGCTGTGCGAGTCATACCAGCGGACATGTGTCATCGGGCTATCGCGTCAGCAGCCAGGCGGGCCGCTCTTTGCCTGTCTCGCAAAAGTGGCCTCTTCGAACATTTGCTGTGAGAGACTGAAAACGAGAGAAAACAGATGAGAGTGATGACATTATGAATTTCCAAGAAATGATCTCTCGTTTGGTATCATTTTCAGTCACCTACATGCAATAACACATATTTTATGCGAGTTCAAAATGTTTCCATCCTTTTTGGTCCACCCTGTAAACCAAATATAAGCCTGATCTGACTTGTAAGACGGCAGCCAGAGCCCAAAAGGTGAATAAGCCAAATATCGATAACTTTTACTTTGACCTGACCTCTGACGTCATCGGTGACCTCGAGGTCCATGAAATTTGGTTTCGCTCGACAGTTTCTCCGGGGCTATCAGATGCCGTTTGAATTTTGACGATCGGCCCAGTTATAGTTTCGGAGTTAGGAGCCCCCCCCCCCCCCGCCCCCCAGTAGGGCGTGTTATACACAGACCCCAGTGGGGCGCGGGATAAGCGGAAAGTAAAGGTTCTGCTGCCGATTTCGGAATATTCCAGAACCGAGTCGCTGACGAACTCCTACCTCCACAACCGATCAGTCTGTGACGCAACCTGCCCTTGATCATTGGCTGTTACCGAATGACCCAGCACCGCTAGGTCACCTGACTAGGCAAGTCGCAGTAGGAGTCGGCCGGTGAGACAGATTCTTGATCGCACGCTTACCCCGGATCACGGAACAATATGGGACAATACAGTTCAGTTCTGTTCTGTGCGGCGGCGGTGGTGACTGGTGTTAGTGTGTGTCGCAAAAAAATCAAAATCGCAAAATGTTCCCCGGAACTGCCCCTCCTCTGGATCCGCCAGTGACCGTCACATTATGTAGTCGAATCTGGTAATTCACTGTTTCAATTTTCATCCATAAATGTGACCACCCGTCTTACTTGTATGTCTAGTGTCACCCGTTAGAAAAACACAGCTTTGTTTTGACAACCGTTGTTAAAATTTACATAAAAGTTAAATAAAAACGACAAATAGACCCACTGCCTCGTCGATTTCGCATTACAACTAGTTCCGTTGCAACACACCTAGTTCCGTTGCAAAGTAACTAGGTAGTTTGCATCCTAACTAGTTAGTTTGCAAACTAACTGGACGGTCAGTTAGTTTGCAACGGAACTAGTTTCGTTGCAAACTACCTGGCCGGTCAGGTAGTTTGCAACGCAACTAGTTGCGTTGCAAACTAACGGATTTCGCATACTAACTGTAACATATAGACCTGAGAGCATATTCGCCACATAAATTTACGGTTCCACGGTATGTTGCGAATCCTCCACTAGATGTCATTGGGAGCGTTGCCGCCTGGCGGAGGTCGGTCGGCGCCGCCCGAAATAACACACGTGCGGCCGCCGAGCGGGCGGGCCGGGCGGCGGGTCGGGGTCGGCCGCCGCCGGCCGGCCCGCCAGGCCAACAGACAGTGCGTGCCACGCCCGTGCGGCCGCCGCGGCCATGCGTCGGAGACGGCGACGGTGACAGTGTGACGGTGTGACGGTGTGTCTGTGTGACGATGGCGGCCTCCGACACTCCGAACGGTGACGACGCCCCTCCGATCGTCACGCTCAGTGTGGAGCGGGCGCTACTACCCATCGTTCAACAGGTGAGTACCGCGCCGGTCGGCCGACCCCGCCCCTCCCCGCGGCGGAGTCTGGACTGTGCGAGTGGGGGGTGGAGGGAGGGAGGGGCCGCGACCTGGCCTGTCACCGCTACGCTCCGAGACTCCGCCAACGGCAGCGAAGACGCCGTGTGGAGTCGGCCAAAGGCGGTGTCGCTGTTTGAAGTTCAGCCATGCCTGTGCTATGTCAATGTGCGTTTGTAGGAGCCCAGGTATGCCACAGGTACCATAACTGTCAATTTATAGGTGGACGAGAGACTTCAATGTCACGAGTGCAAAGATAGAGCTAAATGGGTCAAACAGGGACACAGCATTACATCGATGTGGAAATTGCCTGCTGAGAAATGTGGAAGAGTAAGCACCTACTTCCATCACGAACCGCGCTAATGAAATGGTGAACTGCGCATATGACTTCGTAAACGAGAGTGCCTCTCTTATAGTTATGAAGCCTGAACTTGAAAAGAAGTCCGGGCATCGATATGCTCGCAGTTTACTATGGCATTTGACAGTGTGACCTATCAAACACTTTTTGCACATTCAGGAACACTTAGACATAGCACTTGGTGGAAAGTTTGTTACAGAAATGTGAAAAGTCACGCCCTGACTTTCATGACTTTTTATATTATATCGAACGAGACTATCTTGTATGGCATTCAAAGCTTCACGGGAACCTTTGCATGAGCGAGTGCAATTCATTGCAAGTGTGTCTCAAAAGGCTGGCTACCCACCTGTTGGTCCACTTTTATAACCTTTGAGAACGTTTCCTGCGTGTGGCGGTAACACATTTTTGTGACCTGGCATGCGCAATCTGCAATATTAGCATGCCTCCGGGTAAATGTCAAGGTCATGGCGGTCCTGCATCACCTGGCTGGCAGACGTAAGTGCAGAGGCCAGCCGATGATATGTCTGTCCGTGGATCTGGCAATATTAGGCCAGTTCAACGAAATAAGGTATCTAACGAAGAGGTCGCGGACATTTTTCTACTTTGGGCATTGCATGACAGAAGTATACAATATGGATGTGACGTCACAAGATCATGTGAGGTCATCATATGACTTATGAATGACCTGCCGAATCGAATGAAATGCATCCTGCTTAGTCATTATGGTCTCATTGAACTGCAACCTAATAGCAGGCCCATTGCTATTCTAATGCAATCTCATTTTACCAGTGTCCTGACCCGTTGTTCTGTAACACTTTTACCGGAATAATTTATTAAAAAAGTGCACCGTACTTTTGCATCATTGACCTAAAATGCGAGATAATTGGTTGACCATACACCTTGACATTAGTTGCTGCAGTGGCCGCACCTCGTGATGGTCAATCAATCTCGTGTTTCACGAGGCGTAAGCTTGATGAGGGGCGAAACGACGAGGAGGAGACTTCCTACATACCCCAGTGGGGGCGTATGTTCAGGTATGCAATGCATGCATGCATTCAGCAAACTGATATAGCAGTGGTTAAAAAAGAGATAAAAGTTCACGTCACATAGATCGAACAAGTTGTTGTTTGCTATTCATTCTTTCCTATAAACAGCATGATTTTTTTCGTTTGTGTGAAGTGCACCATCCAACGTCAGGTTTGGACAGAAATAATCAGTGAGTCATTGGCTGATCTCACTGTCTCAGCAGTTTGAGCGTACCGTTTATGTTGATAAGCCATTTACCAGTTTTGGTTGGAATACCATGCCAAATAGAAAACAGTTACTTAGCCAACGACTGAAGGAACTCACGTTATGTTTTATTATACCTTTGTGAAATGTTGGAAGATCCTTTTTTAGCCATGTAGGTACTCGCGATAGCTAAACAGCTAGTTGCATGCATTGATGGGTCTACCAAAAATGGTTTCCAATGGGGATGAGGTGTACCATTATATTTGCCTCCAAATGTTCTCAATTTTCCGAAATGCATGCTTTGGCTTCCATCTCCATGCTCTGATGTGCAATGCACACCAAACTTATAATAAAAGTCATTTACGTAGGGAAAACGACAGACCAAAGGACGCTGGGAAAGGAGCAAATGCCCCAACTTCCCTTGTCCCTTCCCTTTGCTTTCCCTTTGGATCCGACAGTGATTGAACAATAAACATGAAACAAGGAAACAACTATATTGATTATAATGTCTATCAGGTACCAACCATGCGCGGGGCTCATGAATGCTGAAATTCTGTTATACAACAAGTCGCAATCCTGACGACAATCGGCAGCTGGTTGAAAGCTTCACTGTCTGTCTAAATGTCGGCTCACCTCCTAATTATGCTGACTCCGGTAGAGGTGTCGTCTTATTGAGCTTTTTTATAAACCCAATGGTCATTAGGTATGGGCGTTGCACGTACCCACTGCGCATATTTATGCATGGAAGCGGGTGTGTAATTGTATCGTGCACGTATCCTGGACACTCGATTACCTTCTCGTATACTGCCTACAACAAAGAAAACTATATTGTGTGCTGCAGTGCCCAGTAAAGAACCTAATCCGCCTGCGGGTTCAGATAAGTGACGCCACGTTTGTCGGTACACAGCTCCTCGGAGGCCACTGGGCTAGGTGGCGGCCGTATGCCTGACTGGACCAGCCCATCTGCCGCTCCCCCACGCTATCTCAGCCCCTGACGGGCCGTCGGCCGACACCCACTCTCTGTACGGGCAGGTAGCTCCGGCAGCCAGCCGTGCCCCTCGCGCCGCCCCATGTACTCTGGTGACCGGCCAAAGTCCCGTCAGCGCCGTTAGAAACGCGCCCCGCGCCCACCGCACCACCCCATTCTTCTTCCTCAAAACGACGCTGAATTCCTCGTCTGTCAGAGGAGTTTACTTTTCGCCAGAATGCAGAACACGGCACGCATTTGGCAGCGCGGCTATTTTCGTGGTTACCATTGACGCTGTTGGACAGCTGCACGCTACAGCTAGCACCCAGCCATTAATTACTTTATTTTGTTCATCTTAGTTGAGGAAATGAGGTTTAATGCCTTCGCACAACTCCGTCGTCTAGTATGAGCTGAGCTCACACATGTGACTGATGTTCCTCTCCATAGATGGCGCTGGTAGTGTACGCCTGAAGTTATACTGCTCCGCATGGCATGACGATCGTGAACTGCTGGAGTATGGAACGCTTGAGTATGGGATCCATTAGCTCTTTGGATTGGGTGCTGGATACGGCCAATTTTATCGTGCCTGATCTTGTACTGGGTGAACAGTAACTTCTGTTTGCTCCTGCTGGCAAGAGGTGGCGCGGGCACCGTCGCCGCCGACGTCGCAGCCGACGCAGCTGGGCGGGCGCTAACGCCGGTCGGCTGCCATTATCCGCCGCAGGAACAATGTCCTCGGACACGATAAGACGAATCGGCGCCGACTGCTGAATGGAGAAGGGCTGAGCGTCCGGTCGCCGGCCTGCCCCGGCGGATACCCCCTCCGCGCGGCCGGACGGTGGTCACTCTGCGAGCACAAACTATGCTAATAAAGCACACCGACCCCTGTCGGTGTAGAGAAGCGCTAGAACAGCGTTAGGAGTAATTACGTGCCACATTGATGTGGTTTAGGTCTGGGGAGAGGATGCCCGACAGATGGATGCATTTGACGATGTGAAATGCGTATGGCTGGTTGGGCAAAGGGCTAAGTGTAGTTGACTTATACATATCGGGAGAAAGATTTCGTCGTCAATAGGGCTGTGAATGACTTTATTTTTAATCATAAGCTTTCGTGGGGCAAGGAAAATTTCCATTTTTCACCCAATGAGAAGTCGGTTTCAACATTATCATAATCATATAATCATAATCATGTATTTCGGAAAACATCCATCGGGTGGGTTTTCAGTTATCCACGTCATACAAGTACCCAACATAATTCCTACAATATGTCACACAAAAGAAGGACATGTACCCGACTAAAATCCTTAAAATGGTTAAAATACCTACAAGGTCTCAAGCGAGATCACTAGATCAACCGGCACCGGTCACCTGCCTCTTGAAAGAAGCGTAGGTGGCGGAGCTCCTCACACATCGTGGCAGCTCATTCCACGCCCTTACGGCTCGGGCGTAGAACGACCGTCTGGCGAATTCGGTGCGCGTGCGCGGCACCTCGAGTTGGCCGTCGACAGTGGCCCTCGTCTCACGTGCAGCTACATCGGAACGACTGGTAATCCGTGTGCGTAACACCTCCGAGGCCCTGGTATCGTGTAACAGTCGGTACATGACACAGCTGTCGTGCTCAGTTACCATCTGCTCGATCCGTTTCCACCCTAGCTCTCGCAGCGTTTCCGTGACATGTTCTCGGTATCCTAGGCCGGTTACAACGCGAGCGCCAAAGTTGATGCACTTCTGCAGTCTGCGTTTCTGTGTGACGGAACAGCTTCCCCACACAGAGCTACAGTACCGCAGGTGGGGAAACACCAGCGTCTCCACCAGCAGCTGCCTCGTCTCTCGAGGCAGCTGCTGGTGAGGCAGCTCTCGATTCATTAACGTCTTTTTACGTCCAGACTGAATTAAAACAGACATCACTGATAAGCCCGTTTCAGGAGAGACGCGACATTCCCTTTGCTGTGAGTCGGTTCAGCCCTCTAGAGTGGCAGCGGGTTCGCGATTTGAACACACTTCCGATTGCCGGTCGAGAGACATCCGCCGAATGAATCCCGACGTGAGTCTAAATGAGTGAGCATTTCTCTGCCTTGTCCCGTCGGGATATCAATTATAGAAAATCTTCGCCGGGATCTTCATTTAAATTGGATTTTCTTGAGCCCGTCCATCCCTTCTATTTGGCTTGGCACGTCTTTCAGTCGGTCATCGTATTTGCTGGCCGGAAGTTTCCAGTTCCGGTGGAATTGGGCGCGGTAGAGAGTGGGGAAGAGAGGAGGTGAAGATGAGTCCCTTATTTCCAAGTGCTCTCGGCCGTGAGTTGCGACCTCTGGACGAACACCGCGCTGGCGAGAGAGCCACTGGAGAGGAGAGGACGGGCCCGAGACGCCTCTCCGTCCCGTTTCACCGGCGGCTGGCCTGGAG